CAAAAACTCAGCATTCACCTTGCCTAGGCTGAATACCACAAGCCCCTTGGCAATTTCCACTGCATCAGGTAGACATCTGAACCATCGTACCAGAACAACTCACAGACAAACTACAGAGAAGAAAAGGCAAAGCTTTATAATGGTGTAAAATTGATTTATATTGAATATCAACCGAGCAGTTTCTCTAACTATGAAGTGTCTGTTCTTCTCACTCCAAGAAAGTACCAACGATAAGCATTCTCCAAAATGACAGTTTTGCATAGAAAAATGTCACTCCAAAGAACACTCACCATCAAGGCCCCACCAAGAAAACGGTCGGTGCAAGAGGCCACCAGTGTTCATAACTCTAAGTGAAGAGATTGAAGATTGGGTTCTTGTCGTTTTGGCATTGATTTTCAGATTTGAACAGTCTGGGTAGATCCATTAAATCTGTTTTGGAATTGTTCCCCGCAGATTCTGTCGCAGTTTCAAAGCGACAATTTTGCCTTTTGGCTTACTTTTTCCAAATGAGCATTCCAGTTTAGAGTCTTGTCCAGGATGACTCCCAAATACTTTGCTTCATTTGAGAACGGTACTAATTCTCCTCGAATACTTAAGGGTATCAAGTTATCAAGTTTTCTTCTCTTGGTGAAGGGACTATGACCATTTTGTGAGGATTGATTCTCATTTCCTCTCTCTCGCACCAATCTAGCACCTCTTGAAGTGCAGCTGGGACACTCGTCTCAGAACTACCCAGTCATCAGTCTGATGTAAGCATGGCTTAAAGTTGACTTAGTATGAGCCTAGAAAATTTGAAGACATGAAAGAAATTTTGAGGTTTTCGATATTATCGATGAGGTCTAGCAACTTTGTTTGAGACAGTGCCAATGTGAGAAATGGAGAAAAAACTAGGGTTGGGAGTACTCTGGGATCTATAACCTAAGTCTGTTTCACACTTGTTACTAATTTTATTCAGAGTCTTATCCACTAGAGTGTGATTATAGTCATTATTTACTACTATTTGCTTTATTGTATTCAGTTCTAAATTGAAATTTGCAGGGTTCGTCGGAATATTGAGCAGACCATTTAGGTAACAATAAAGAGCTGCCATTTTATGTGAGGGGCAGTGATGGGAAGAGCTAGGGATCATGTGGTCTGTTAGAGTGGGATTCCTATAAATTGAGTATATGATTATTTTTGATCGAAAGGTCCAGGAAATTTAGGGTTTTTTCAACTCCGGTTTCCACAGTGAACTCAAGTAAAGAGTGCAAATTGTTGAAGCTCTGAAGAATGGAGTCAACAGATTTGTATCGAAGATGGCGAAACAATCATCCACGTAGCTTGCCCAGAAGCCATTGTTATTTAGGACCGCGGGATCAGTCCCCTTTCGACAAAGTCCAGGAAATAGTCAGCCAACATGCAAGTTAAGAGGTTACCCATAGCTAGGCCATGAGGCTGTTCGTAGGTTTTGTTATTAAAAATAAAGAAGTTCTGACCAAGGCAAGCCGAGAGTAACTCCTCTATAGTCGTCAGTAGTTCATTTTCTGTATCATCACTTTGTAGCAAGTCTGTAATGATGAGAATAGTCTCCAGTTTAGGGATGGAGGTGTACAGGTTGGTTATATCAAAGGATACTATAATCCGCGTGTTGCTAAATTCACCAAAATGGTGCACCGCCACGAATGCGGTGATTACGATTCATTAGTGAATCGCCAATGTCAAACCACAGCTTGTCAAACCCTGTTTAATTTAACAACGCTGGCTCTTCTACCATTCCACCACGGTGTCCACACTAGCTGAATTTAGCCACACGCGGTAAATGAGAGTCTTGCATGTTCACTGAATTCAGCTTATTAACTAAGACTGAGTTTTTAAAGGTAAAAGTGGGTTTAGTAGTGATTAGGTTGACCAAAAGGGTATTCAAGAAGCTAGACAGAAATGAAACCGGGTGTTACAGAAACTAACCACCGGCCTAATGAGCGTGTTCACTTTGTGGATCTTGGGGAGTCTATAAAGTTTTCGCATAGTCAGGTGGCTTGGAAAGGGGATTCTGTTGTTATTTTGACTCTTTATGAAATCATAGTGTTTCTTGAGTAGTCTTATTAATGGAGCTGTTCAATGGGTTGTTATGCAAAATTTTGAATTTGTTATCTGTTAGGAAAGATTCGACTTTGTTGAATTTACTGAGAACCACGAGGCAGTTTCCTTTATCAGCCTTGGTGACTATAATTTTGTGGGACTTTATTGTGGACTTTATACTCTTGAGGGTGTTAGCAAGGTTTCTAGCGGGTTTATTTCGTTTAGAAAGTTCATTGATAGCAATGAGCATTCAAAATAGACTTCTGTTCGGAATCATGTAGTAGGCTTTCAATGACAGCATCCACATGGATGGAAAAAACGTCTAGAGAGGGTTTATTAAGTTCATGCCGAATAGAGTCCATGCTCAGTAAATGTTACTATTCTTCTGAAAAATTGCAATTAGAAAGATTCTTAACTCTATCTTGAAAAATGTGATTGGAGAACTTCTTTGAACCAGCCTTAACTTGAGGATTTGTCTTCTTAAGTTCTATATTAGTTTTGCTTAGGGCAACGTAGTGCTTAGAAATCTCAATTTCTCGTGTACATCCAAACCCCCCTTCTCAGAACTAAAGAGAGTCCAACCTGACAGTACGACTGATGTATCATTTCTATTAGCATACTGACTGACAAGACCTCCATCCACCGAGCCAAGCAAGTCATACACATACAGTAAGAAGAGCAATGGTCCCAGTATGGAGCCTTGTGGGACGTCACTCTGTATCAACAGACTCTCCGTATGTAGGATTGACACAATTTAACACTTCTGAGATCGGATCACATGACGCCGACTTACAACTTTGAAAGACCGTATAGCAACCCAACATGATTCATTGGGAAATGAAACCACTATGTATCAAGCAGAAAGGAGTTGCCACCAATCTATGTGAAAAACTCGATTTTTTTATTTTTGCTCAATTTTGACTTCATTAATCAATAGAGCAGGTGAAAAATAGTGGAAAACAACCCTGACATCAATTTTAAATGGCCATTTTAAGCAGAAAAAAAAAATAAAAAATAAGAAGAAAGTCCTATTTTTGGCTCTGGAAAATCTTTAAAATCTTGTCTGTGCAACCTTGAGCTTCAGAGCTCACAAAGTTTCTGAGCAAATTAACCCTCAAAGTTGTATTTTAGTCAAAATTTTGTAAAAAAATATCAAATTCAATTTGCTCAAAAACTATAAATCTGGAAATATTGTAAATCACAGACCATCAAGAGCTTAAAAAGAGCTACAAATGCTGAAAATTTAAATGCAATTTGCTCAACGGTTACCGAGCAATAGAGGTGCGAATATTTTGAAATCAAAATTCAAAGGGGATAGGTAGGTACCCTCATGAAAAACTCGATTTTTAATTTTTTTAGTTTTGCTCAATTTTGACTTTATTAGATAATCAATAGAGCAGGTGAAAAATAGTGGAAAACAACCCTGGCATCAATTCCAAATGGCCATTTTAAGCAGAAACAAAAATAAAAAGGAAATCCTATTTTTGGTTCTGGAAAATTTTCAAAATCTTGACATGGTCATGAGCAATTGCCCATATCTTTGGTGAATTTCAAGCAAATTGAAATAAATTATATACCATTGGAAAGAGAATTAAATTCTCTATAAATCCGTGCAAAATTGAGTTTGATAGCTCAAAGAGTTTTTGAGCAATTGATTTTTAGTCCAAATTTTGTCAAATACTTCAAAATCAATTTGCTCAAAAACTATATATCTGAGAATATTGTAAGTTACAGACCATTTAGAGCTTAATAAGAGCTACAAATGCTGAGAATTTCAATGCAATTTGCTCAACGGTTACCGAGCAATTGAGGATTGAATATTTTGAAATCAGATTTCAATGAAAATTTTTTTTTTTTAAGTAAAACTTCTTAGGCGGCGGTCTGATATTTGGACGAGAATAGAGAGCGAGCTGAAAGACGCGTCACGTTTTGGCAAATTTTGTTAAACGATAGAGAAAAAAAGATATACGTAGAGGGACTGAAAAAGACAACCAATGACAATGACAGCCGACGAACGATTGACACAAACCAAGTATCCTCTCGTTTTTATTCTAATCGGTGACATCACCGATGAGTTAGCTATCTTTGTTTAGTGGATGGAAAATGACAATGACCGACATAGAATGGTGGATCCATCGGTTAAATTTGGTGAGAATAAAAACGCAGGGGATTATAAAAAATCATATAATAATACAAGAGTTAATATAATGCTGTCCCAGTTACTTCTGGTAACGATGGTATCTCTCCAACTTCCACAACAAGAGCTTGTGTGATCAATCATATCAAATCTTGCTCTTTTTCTGATGAGTCACATCCTTCAATGGAACAAATGTTCGAATCAAACATGGTAAACTCGGACAAATACCTGAATCAGGATTCCATGCCTAGGTCAAGGCAAACACAGCCTCAGAATTGATCAGCGTGAAAGTCTCATCAATCAAGAAAAAAAAATTCTCAATAATTGAATTCAACAATTCCATTCCATTATAATAAATTAATAATTCACAAAATTTAATTGAGCAATTCGTTAATCGCCTATATTTTGTATCTGACCATTACGTGATTTTATGGTGCCTGCCATACCACACCATTTTCGACCTTGACCAAAATGTCAACTTTAACAAGCTGTAACCTAATATTTTTTTAAAAACGCTTATCTCAGGAACCTGTATTTGTTTCCATGTAGGCAGTTGTCCGACCCAAAATAATTTTGCAGTAGTAGGTACCTATTTCAAGTTTTACAACTCTTAAATTCCTCAAAAAAAGAAAGTCGACTTTCGTTTTTTTTTTTGAAGCCCAGGTAAAAAAGGGTTATTGTGTGTTTGTTGTAAAGCTTTTATGGTGAAAGTTAAGAAACCCTTATTCTAAGATACAATGGGGCAAAATCATTTTAAAATTAAAAATAATAAAATAAAAAAAAGTATATGTACCATTGTACTCACCACAGACGACCCGGTCAAAGGGACTCATCCAGTCTAAAAAAGAAAAACAAATAGATTAATACATATAGATTAAATGCCTATAAATTCTTAAAAATTGGACCATAACATTTGTGGCTAGACAAAAATTTTGCACAATCAAAATCTTGAACCCATTGGGTGTCCTTTGTCGGTATTTTCGATGTGGAAGATTTGGAATTTTATTGGTCTAATGATGTGGGACCGTCATTATAGCTATCCTTGAAGGGAAAAAATGTCCATAAATTTGGATAAAATTACTTCCATTATTTCATTAGACAAAGTATCATCGTTTTATATGTGTAACGTCTAACAAATTAGAAACAAGTTGATATTTGGTAAGATACTTTGTTTTAGGGTACTAAATACCCTCTGAAACTCCAGCGCCGAAGCGTTGAGCCCGTCACCCTAAAACCACCCCTTAAGTATGGTGAAATCTACCTTTTTTTACATTTTTCTTGATAATTCCAAAACTAACCATTTTAGGGAAAAATGTCAAGAGAGAAAAATTGTAAAGAACTTGTATGACCCCAGAAAAATTGGACGTAGAAAAGACTTTTTTCAGGATACATTTTCTTATTTTGTGTTATAAAATCCTATTAAAATACTCCTGAACATCTGAAAAAAAAAATAATGTTTTATGCCTATTCGGTAATAAATTTTCTTCTCTACATTTTTTCCTAAAATGCTTAGTTTTAGAGTTATTGGGAAAAATGTAAAAAATGGTAGATTTCACCTGACTTAAGGGGTGGTTTTGGGGTAACGGGTTCAAAGCCTCGGCGCTGGGGTTTCAGAGAGTATTTAGTACCCTAAAACACAGTCTCATACCAAATTTCAGCTTGCCTATAATATGTTGAATATCATCCTGTACTACAATTCTTCATCAAAATGTACAATTATTTCGAGAATGTTTATTATATTGATAAATAAAGCAGTTTCAATTATAGTTTTTCCGACAATATTCAAACAATTTAAATCGAAATTATTTTTAAATGACACGGTCACAGATTAAAATAGCCCATTTCGAGTAACATCTCGTTATTTTCGCGGCCAACAGTTAATTTATTTAAATGACCCTATTTTGTCAATTATTTAGCGATAAAATGTTATTTAAACGCCCATTTATATTTATCAAATGTAAACAACAATAATAATTGAGGAAAAGTTAGTCGTTTTGAATAATCTCTCAATTAATAATAATTTACTCTTATGAATATAATTTGCAAGTAGGTGAAAGAAATTCTAACTGGATATCCAGATAATTAAGGACGAATTGAACATTTGTGCAAAAATGATGCACTACATCAAAATAACTGTGAATTGGATTATGCAAAGTATTAATTACAATAATCAACCCACTAAACATGTAATGTTGCAAAATTTGTCAGCAATATTGTATCGACCCTACTTTAGAAAATTTATTACGTAATGTGACGTTAAGCTTTCCAAAATATTACTTATCCAATGTTAAGGGATATAAATTTGATATAACTTCAATAGAGAAACATTCGTTTTAGTTATCAAGTAAATGTTGCAGTAGATACAATAATGTATTACATTTGAAACATTATAAAATGTGAGTAAAACAAATATTATAACAATGTTATGAAATGTAACTTTTCTCAACTCTGTCGCTTTAATGTTGCGGAAATATTTACGTTTGTAACATTGAAAATATATAATAAAATAAATGGTTGCATAAATATTATAAGCTCAACTTTTCTTAAAACTGTCGCTGTAATGTTGCAGATACCTTTACATGCGTAGGTTAACAGTTTCAAGAGTAAAAAAAGGTTACCTAATATTTCAATATAAACTTTAGAATAGGAAACATAAATTTTCCCAATGTTGCATAAAGCTTGCAAATAGATTTTATTTGCAATATGCTGTCTTTGTCTCTGTCATGTAAAAATATATTTGACTGACAAAGACGGGACAATTATTTGGAAATTCAGAACGGCGCAGATGCACCACCCATTTGTTGTTGACCTGTTGACGCCACGCCACCATTAGCCAGGACGGAGGACGCAGACGACGCTTCTTTTTTTTTGGCTTGATAAATAATACAAGAAAATTGGACAGGACGAAAGGGTTCATCAAGATCTTGAGATGTTGGGAGAGGAAGAGAATAAAGCCAATGTAAGATTTTAACATTTTAATTTTTTGTGATATTTTATTACTGTTTAATTTTTAATTTTAGGTGGCTTTTTTACAATACCTGGTTGGAGGAATTGAGGCATGTGTGATAAGATCAATTGGAAATTGGAAGTTTATTAACTAACCATTGTGTCCCGGTCTGTAGTTGGACTGGCAGAAAAGGGAAATTAAAAATAAAGGATTTTGCATTAATGCAAATCCTCACCATACCTATATTAAAAATCTATCATATATACAATATTTTACTATGTAAATTTCTGTAAAGTACCACTAAAAATATTGCAACTGTAATATTTATCTAACTTCATAAACAACGTTAAATGCCAGGTTTCTGTAAGCTAGCATTTTGAATGTTACAAACGTAATTTATTTTTAATAATAATACAAAATTGAGGCGATATTGCAGAAAAGTTTATTTTGTGGTGCATTTGTCAATATTAGAATAAGTCCGTTTCAGTAATTGCAGCAACCTTGCACTTATATAGCAGCAATAAAAAATGAAACATTTCAATATTATCTAGAAACATTACTAAAATATTGAAGCGATATTACATTGCTTAGTGGGAAGTGTTATGAAAGAAATGTATACCTAATATTAATAGCATTTATTGCGGGCATTATTGATGAAGAAATTCCATCATGGATGACTAGTGAGTAGAGGCGTTAAGCTGGCAACATTGGCCTTTTATTATTTTTAAATGTTGCCAGTGGCGGCTCGTGACTTTTTTCAAGTGAGGAGGCTGAAAAATAATGAATTACGGTAAGGTAACCACTGCGCAGTAGGCAAAAATTTGTTTTGGGGTGCCCATGCCCTCAATAATTTATCTCAAATTCAATAAAAACCATGAATACTCGAGAAAATGTTCCTTTTCTTCATGTAAGTATATATTTTCAGAGTTAATTTTGACGAAAAATAAAAAATACAAAGGAAGGCACAAATTGATAATTATGATTAATTTCATTTTTTTCCGGCCTTAAGATGCGCCGTAGCAAGGAGAGACAAATTAACTTTTCGTCGTATTTTTTGCTTCTCTTTCCAATATAATTTTTTTTTTCTCGAAATTCAAAATTTGAATTTTTTCGAAAAAAAATCTATGGGGATATAAGCCTTCCAATTTTTTATTTTATTTTCAAAGCGACCTAACTCGGAAGCAAAAAGCTCGGGAGAAAAACTTCAAATGCAAAACTTGTAGATCTCGTCAAATACTACAAAAAAGCCTATAAGAAGTATTCCTTCACGGGGCACCGTTTTCGTGAAAATCGACCTCGAAAATTTTAACAAAATTACAAAAAATTTCAACTTTGACGGCTAATATATCAAAGACCAAAAACGGCATGGCATCTCAATAAAAAAACATTTTGTAGGTAATTTCATCCTCTTTCAAAAGAGATGTGACTTGAAACGATCGGTTAGGAAATGGCGGAGCTATAAGCAAAAAAGTGGCCTCGTGTCGGGTACCCACAATTTTTTTCTGATCAAAATCGAAATTTTTCTTATTTTATTTTTTTTCGGCCTCAAGATGTGCCGTAGTGAAGAGGGTCAAATTAACTTTTCGTCGTATTTTTTGCTCCTCTATCCGATAGAATTTTTTTTTTTTTGAAATTCAAAATTTGAATTTTTTCGACAAAAAAATTCAAAGGTAGCCTTCGATTTATTTTTTTTTAATTTTCAAAGCGTCCTAACTTGAAAACGAAAAGCTCGGGAGAAAAACTTCAAATACAAAACTTATAGATCTCGTCAAGTACTACAAAAAAGCCTATGAGAAGTTTCCTGCCACGGGTCACCGTTTTCGAGAAAATCGACCTGGAAAATTTTAACAAAATTACAAAGAATTTCAACTTTGACGGCTGATATCTCAAAGACGAAAACCGCCTAGAATCTCAATAAAAAAATATTTTGTAGGTAATTTCATCCTCTTTCAAAAAAGATATGACTCGAAACGATCGGTTGAGAAATAGCGGAGCTATAAGCGAAAAAGTAACGTCGTGTCAGATAGCCGAAATTTTTATCTGGCCAAAATCGAAATATCCTTTTTTAATTTTTTCCCGGCCTTGAAACGCGTCATAGCAAGCAGGGTCCCATAAGCTTTTCAACGTTTTTTTTGCTCCTCTATCCGATGGTATTTTTTTTTTTTTAGAAATTTGGAAAAAAAATTCAAAATCAAGAAAGGCTAACTTTTTGCCGGTACATTGGAGAGAACTGAAACTCGGAATATTGACTAAAAGTCACATTTTGAATATTCCCGATTTTTGATTGGCTCCAAATTATCCGCTGACCAATAGGATTATAGACTGGGCCCTGTGATTAAAATAACTCTATCCCTTCGGGCTCGCATATAACTCCAGCCCTTCGGGCTCGCGTATAACTCCAGCCCTTCGGGCTCGCGTATAACTCCGGCCCTTCGGGCCGGATTCACAGATTTTTGTCGTGGAGGCGCGGGATTGATTGAAATAATGTTGTCAGATTTTTCTAAATTACATTGAAATATCGAAATTTTGAAAGTGTAATTTGTGAATTATTATTTTAATTAGAAATCAAGAATAAAAATCTGAGAATAAATTTTCAATTTTTTGGGGGAGGCTCAGCCACCCCTGCCTCCTCTGACGAGCCGCCACTGAATGTTGCCAGCTCAAACTATGAAATCATTTGCAACTGAGAAAAATATTCCACCTAGGCCAAAAGTAACTGGTGAACTTTGAATTTAGTTGGGCCAGTTGGCAATTCGTGGATCCTATAAACAGGATTTTACAGAATAAAATTGGATTGGAGGTTTCAAAGCGAAAATTTGGAAAATAGGCAGTATAACATGGCATGGAGCAGGTAGAGATAATTTAGATACAAATGAATAATGTTTGAAACT